AGGTTACTACTTTCTTTTTTTTTTTAAGTCAGCACTTGATATGATAAGTGCTTTAAGTTTATTTTATTTTAAATATATTTTATTGATTTTTTACAGAGAGGAAGGGAGAGAGATAGAGATTTAGAAACATCAATCAGCCGCCTCCTCCCTTCTCCTTTTTAAAAAATATACTTTTATTGATTTTAGAGAGGAGGACAGAGAAATGTGTCAATGATGAGAGAGAATTGCCCCCAACTAGGGATGGAGACCACAATCTGGGCATTGCCATGACTGGGAATTGAATCATGACCTCCTGGTTTATAGGTTGGCGCTCAACCACTGAGCCACACAGCCAGGCCCCCCTCCCTTCCACTCCCTCTAAAATTGGGGTTAATGGGAAAATATCCTCTGGTGAGGATTAACAACAACAAAAACTTAAAAAAACGGTATTCCAAATTGCAGATTTGTAGAGAAGGAAGGAGAGAATCAATGCAGCTGGCAGCATCTGATGGTGAGGAAGCTGAGAGGTGGAGGGGTCGGGTGGCTTAAGGGTCTCCGTAAGTGTTCATACATTGGGCAGTTAAGATGGAAGTTTGAAGAATTCCCAGTCACATTATATAAAGAAATAGAAAATTCCTTAGGTTTGACTAGACTAAGGAGGCGATTCATTAGGGAGCTACAGCTGAATGTAAAAAAAGGTTACTATTAAAAAAAAAGGAAAAAGAGCCGAAACCGCTTTGGCTCAGTGGATAGAGCGTCCCTCAAAGAGTGAAAGGGAGAGAGGGAGAGTGGGAGGGAGAGAGGGGAAGAAAAAAAAATATCGAAAAAAGAGTGAAAGGGAAGGAGGGAAGGAGTGGGAGGGAGAGAAACATCAATGATTGGTTGCCTCCTGACGTGACCTCACCAGCCAGGCATCCGGGGCTCCACTGGCAGCCCAGGTATGTGCCCTTGACCAGGAATCAAACCTGAGATCCTTTGGTGCTTGGGCTGACACTCCAACCACTAACCCACACTGGCCAGGGCAACACACACACACACACAGCATCTTTCATGCAACCTTTTGCAACATTACTTTAGATCAGTTTGAGTAAATCATAACTAGCCTGGCCGATGTTGCTCAGTGGTTAGAGCAGTGGTTCTCAACCTGTGGGTCGCGACCCCTTTGGGGGTCGAACGACCCTTTCGCAGGGGTCACCTAAGACTATCAGAAAACACATATATAATTACATATTGTTTTTGTGATTAATCACTATGCTTTAATTATGTTCAACTTGTAACAATGAAATTGGGGGTCACCACAACATGAGGAACTGTATTAAACGGTCGCGGCATTAGGGAGGTTGAGAACCACTGGGTTAGAGTGTTGGCCCAGCACCAGCACCTACGGGTATTTGGTTTATTCCTGGCCAAGGGCATGTATCCAATGTAACCAGTTGACATTTCTCTCTCTTTTCCCCTGGCCCCCCTCTAATCTCTCTGAAAAGCAAGGGAAAAAAATCCTCTGGTGAGGATTAACAACAACAAACATAGCCAAGATGACGCTGGAGGGAGTCAATGGGGGGGAAAGGGGGATATTCATAATACTTTCAACAATAAAGATGAATTAAAAGAGAAAGAAACAGCTGAATGTCCTTGGCTTCAAATAAGAGGTGTTTTGATGGTGTGCGTGTGTGTGTGCATGTGTGTGTGTGTGAAATGCCAATTGAGCAAGGTGTTTAAAAGCAAGACTCCTTCCCTTCTTTAAAAACTGCCTCCTCCCACGTGCACGCTTATGTGTTCTATGCTGTGCTCAAGACCTGTGGATACAGGGGGTGGGGCAGGCAAAAGAGGGTAAACGGGGGATAAATGGTGGCAGAAGGAGACTTGACTTTGGGCGAACACACTACATACAGATGATGTATTATAGAATTATACACTTGAGACCTACATACTTTTATTAACCAATGTCACCCTCACAAATTCAATTTTAAAAGATACATGTGGGTGTGCCCTGTCCGGGTGGCTCCGTTGGTTGGAGCATCCTCCTGTACATCGAGAAGGTTTCGAGTTCTGTTCCGATCAGGACACATAAGTGGGTTTCGGGTTTGATCCCCAGTCGCCAGGGGCAACCTATTGATGTTTCTCTCTCTCTACCTCTCCCTCTCTCCCCCTTCCTCTCTCTCTCTAAAAATCAGTAAAAACATATCCTTGAGTAAGGATTTAACCAAAAAAATACATGTGGCTAAAGCAACAAGTCTTTTCAATGGATTATGAAACCCTTACTTTTGCTTTATTTATTTTTTAATTGATTTCAGAGAGGAAGGGAAAGGGAGAGAGAGAAACATCAATAATGAGAGAGAATCATTGACTGGCTGCCTCCTGCACACCTCCTACTGGGGATGGAGCCTGTAACCCAGGCATGTGCCCATGACCAGAATCGAACCCGGGACCCTTCAGTCCACAGGCCCACACTCTATCCACTGAGCCAAACAGGCTAGGGCCTTACTTTTGCTTTAATGTCCCTCACATTTTCACTTCAGGCGCCTCATAAGGGGTCCTGATGCCCAAAAGGATGAAGAAGAAAAAAAGCTGAAATAAATTACCGAATGTGCTGTCTTTAAAACAGTAGTGAGGGCCATGCGCAGTTAAGTGGGAATGTGGGATAAAATAGCCAAGTGGGTGGATTACGTGCACCGCAAATAACCGGAAGCTTTAGAGCAGCTGGAACTGGAACCTGGGTCCCCCCAGCCCCTCCCGCCTTACTGAGTGATTCCCCACCTGTTACCTTAAAACTGGCCGCCTGCCAGCCAGCTGTGCCATGATGCTGTTACATATATAAGTATATTTTATTGTTTTCAGAGAGGATGGGTGAGGAAGGGAGAGAGAGATCAATGAGAGAGAATCATTGGTCAGCTGCCCCCGCAAGCCCCCTCCTGGGGATCCAGCTGGCAACCAGGGCACGTTCGGGGACTGGGAATTGAACCTTCACCTCCTGGTTCATAGGTCCAGAACCACCTGGCCAGATGTTAAGAGAACTGAACATCCCCGCAGCTCACCTCCCGGGCAGACTCGCCATTGCATTTATTTTAAAATCGGTGGAGGGCCTAGGGCTGCAGGGACTCTAGCCACCTGCAGGCTGAAGCA